CGAATGCATTTGATTATGGTATAATGGATAATGGCTCGGACTGAGGAATCGGAGAGCCGAGTTCGAATTCCAGTCGAATCCATTAAATTCACTTACGTGCTAATACCCTTGGGAAACGTATGAATCCTCTTCTTCTCTCCCTCCCAGCTATGGGTAAATAGCAAGACAGACCGGGTTCTATAGCCTTGGATGGCAACTGGTCTAGTGCAGAAAGAAATGACAATCCACTGCGGGAAAAATTTTGCCTCGTCAGTCATGTATCGAAGGATATATGATCGCCTAAGCAATGCACATAACTGACTGATTTATGTTAATAATTCTAGTGGCTCGTCTAATTTCTTCTTCAACGATGTAATTAGGGATATCATTAATAAGAACTTGTTTAATGATTTTTAATTCAGTGTAGAAAACCTTTTTCGTGGAAGAGTTAAATTTTGCCCGCTTTATTAAATTTTGAATAATAGCTATTTTGTAATAGTGTGGGCATTCACTTTCATAGTTTAGAGTGCTAGTGTTTATGCTTAGTTGCGTTTTTATATGGGGAGGTATTGTATGTATTATTATTAATGTCTATCAGTACATCAAGAAAGGGATTTTATTATTAATTTTAAGTTCATATGTGAACTTAAGAACTTTTTTTTTTAAAGTTTTCTTGTAGTTCATGTAGTTCATCTATGTTTTTAACTAATATAAGAATATCACCTACATTTTCTTCGATAGACTGAGGTTTTCTAGTGGTGTTAAATATCTTAAGTATCTTATTATACCCATGGAAACACCATCACATTGTAAGTATATATTATTTTAATGGTCATAGAAGGGAAAAGTAGTTTTCTAATATGTTATGTTTAATTTATATATATATATGAGAGAGAGAGAGAGAGAGAGAGAGAGAGAGAGAGAGAGAGATTGTTGTAAATATTCTTCATAATTATACCAATCGTTTGTCTAACTGGGACAATGGTAAATAAACTTTTAAAATCAAATGGGGCTACGGATTTATTATTAAGTTTTGTGTTTTTAAGATTTGGATTAGTTCATGAGTGAATTTAATACTGTATTTACTAGGTATGTATAAATTGGTTGATGATTTTGGTTAATTGGTAAACCGGAGTGGGGATTTCGAATTGGAGAGGATGGAGAAGGAAGTAGGCTTAGTTCCATAGATGTATCCTGGTTTGTAGTCTCCGATTATTTGGGGGAGTTTTAAGTTGTCATGTTCTGCGTTGTTAGCTGTGATTAATTTATTAATTTTGAATTTCAGTTGATAACACACACACACACACACACACACACACACACACACACACACACATATATATATATATATAGGGTTGGTGCATAATTATCAGGCGAATCTGTTGTTATATGGGAATCAGAGTAGAGTAAATATAATTATTTATTCCAAAATTGTAACAAATATTTTATAAAATCACTACAAAAATAGCCATTTAATTTCAACAGTCCTAGTGTTTTATCAGTGATAGTGTTGAAGACACACCATCACCAAGTGTTGAAACAAAATGGCTATTTTTGTAGTGATTTTATAACATATTTATGTTATAAGAATAAATAATTATATTTGTTCTACTTGTATTGAAATCTTTTTTAAGAATAGTATTTTTGGTCATTGGTATTTATTCCGTATACCCCAATCCTATACTTCGATATATATATATATATATATATATATATATAATTATTTATTCGAAAATTATGTTATAAAATCACCACAAAAATAGCCATTTTGTTTCAACAATTTGTGTCTTATCAAGTGATGGTGTTGTATTTGTTTCATCTGTATTGAATCTTTTAAGAATAGTATTTGTTGGTTATTGGAATTTATTCCGTATATTGTCCCATACTTGTATATATATATATATATATATATATATATATATATAGGTATATTTATATATATATAAATATTATTATTTTATTATTATTTTATTATTCCGTATTTTCGTGATATGTTAAGCTTTTCCGTATATATATATATATATATATATATATATATATATATATATATATATATATATATATATATATATAATATTTCTAAATAATTATTTGTTATATTTGAATCCGATTTTATTATTTCAAGCATTATTTTTAATAGATACTCGTGTTTGAAATGGACGCTAGTATTATTTCAAACGGTGTGTATCCCGTCTGTCTGCCTGCGCACTATAAAAAGGGAAGATAAAGAGAGAAAGGAGGCATAGTAATCAACACTGCGTAGTGACCCTCAGTTTCACGACTCAGGCGATCTTCAGACGGACTGATTCACATATAACAACAGATTTAAATGGTCTTATTTTTTTATGTCTACACTCTCTATAAACACATATCTATAAACTCCTCCCCATAAACTTTTAAACAATGTAAACAATAATATATATATATATATATATATATATATATATATATATATATATATATATTGAGCACTTTACGTAGTTATTTTAATCGTTTTGGAGTTTTTTTTTCTTTGGACTCTGAGCTTGAATTCTGGACGATTGTTTTCACCTCAATTTCATGTTCTTAGTTCTTTTTTTTTTTATCCCTTATTTTCCCTTTGGCATTGGTTTGTTCAATTACATGCCGAAATACCTAAGGTTTTTTCAAACGAGTACCTATATATATATATATATATATATATATATATATATATATATATATATATATATATATATATATATATATATATAATAGGTGAGTGTAAAGAATGACAGGTGTAGAGCAAGAGATAGAGAGAATCAGAAAAAGAGAAAAGGATTGGTTAGCTTTCGAGTGAAAAAAGGAGAATTACATCGACAAAGCATGCTAGAACGAATAAGAGAAAATAACGGTTGCGCATGCGCGTGTGTGTGTGTTTCGCGCGCTCTTCTGAAAGAAAAGCTTTTTAAATCTAGCCACGTTGTAAATGTTTCTCTGTGGCAGCAGCAGCAGCAGCGACACTACTACTACTTGTAGTAGTAGTAGCAATCATAATCCAGTCACGAGTTTCAAAAGCACGCACACACACACACGCCCTTACGCACTCATCGTTTTCTGAACTCCTACACACACGCGCACGCGCACATGTCCAGACATCAACGAACACACACACACACACGCACACACACGCACACACACGCACACGCACACACGCACGCACACACACATTGTGGCTTACTGCGTCGGGCAGAAAGGTTGAATCGTATCGAAAACGATAGTAGAAAAGATAAGAGTGAATGAAAAATGTAGAGAGAGTGAAAGAGAAAGAGATATACAGGGGGAAAAGAGAAACAAAGGGAAAGATGGAAGAAAGGAAGAGAAATACAAAGAGAGGAGGGGATTTGTATTTTGTAAAGTGATATAAGGAGGGGGGCATGAAATTCAAATTATTTTTACGTTTGTTGGAAAAGAATTAAAAAAAATAAATTATTTAAATCTAGAAAAATATCGTCAAATTGTTTTTGACGCTTAGTGTCTTTTATAATTTTGTATTTTACAGGTTACTTACTTTTTTAATGTTCTTAGTGAGATTCAGTACATTTCTTGGGGGAAGCTCTGTTGCGGGTGGTCTTGTTGATGGTAGGGGTGGATAGAAGGTACCTGCGGGTACATGTATTTACCAGACATTTTAGTTGAATATTAAAAATGACGAGCACACAGACACAAAACCCCGTTAAAATACCCAGACTCTTAAACTTCGTATATATTTACAAACATATGTGACATTATTGTATGCGTTTCTAGTTTTTACGCATTTGCTTTTTTTAGATATACCAACTAAAAGACACTAAAAAAATACTTTTTGAATTTGCTTCATATTTCAGTATAACTCGGAGACTTATCTAATTTACACTATTTATATTCATAAAACAAAAATGGATACAAGTTAATAAATAACACACTATTCGGACGACCGAAAATCTGAACAAATGAAATATCATTCTTTTCTTTTTTTTTTAAAATCTATCCTTGGTTAGACTGAGAACTGTTCAGCAATTCCCTGTCTATATTTCAAAGCTAGAGAGTTTGAAGATCGTTCATACGCAAACTTAATAATTAGCAATTTATTGCAATTAACCCAGCTATAGGCAAAGAACACAGACGACAAAAAAAGAAAAAAAAGAAAGAAAAACTTGAAATGTAAAAAAATAACAATCAGTCAAGTATTTTCGTTTAAGCAAATTTTGATAAATATATATAATTTTCACAATAATAAACTGATACATCTATCTATCTATCTATCTATCTATCTATCTATCTATCTATCTATCTATCTATCTTTATATGTTCATATCTATCTATCTGTCTATCTATAAATCTATCTTTATATGTTCATATCTATCTATCTATCTATCTATCTATCTATCTATCTATCTATCTATCATTATCTATCTATCTATCTATCTATCTATCTTAATCTGTTCATATCTATCTATCTATCTATCTTAATCTGTTCATATCTATCTATCTATCTATCTATCTATCTTAATCTGTTCATATCTATCTATCTATCTATCTATCTATCTTAATCTGTTCATATCTATCTATCTATCTTTATATGTTCATATCTATCTATCTATCTATCTATCTATCTATTTATATGTTCATATCTATCTATCTATCTATCTATCTTAATCTGTTCATATCTATCTATCTATCTGTCTATCTATCTATCTATCTATCTTAATCTGTTCATATCTATCTATCTATCTTTATATGTTCATATCTATCTATCTATCTATCTATCTTTATATGTTCATATTTATATATCTATCTATCTATCTATCATCTATCTATCTATCTATCTATCTTAATATGTTCATATTCATCTATCTATCTATCTTAATCTGTTCTATCTATCTATCTATCTATCTTTATATGTTCATATCTATCTATCTATCTATCTTCAATCTATCTTTCATATGTTCTATCTATCTATCTATCATTATATGTTCTATCTATCTATCTTAATCTGTTCATATCTATCTATCTATCTTTATATGTTCATATCTATCTATCTATCATTATCTATCTATCTATCTATCTTAATCTGTTCATATCTATCTATCTATCTATCTTAATCTGTTCATATCTATCTATCTATCTATCTATCTATCTATCTCAATCTGTTCATATCTATCTATCTATCTTAATCTGTTCATATCTATCTATCTATCTATCTATCTATCTATCTATCTATCTATCTATCTTTCAATCTGTTCCTATCTATCTTAATCTGTTCATCTATCTATCTATCTATCTATCTATCTATCTATTTCAATCTGTTCTATCTATCTATCTATCTATCTGTCTGGTATCTATTCAATCTCATATCTATCTGTCTGTCTGTCTATCTATCTCAATCTATCTATCTATCTATCTATCTATCTATCTATCTATCTATAAGAAACGGAATATATTTTTTATTAAACATATCGTATTGCATCGGTAATATAAAAATGCCATCAAACTACCAATAAATCAAGATATTAAGATGAAAAGTTTAAAAATAAAGAAATATATATATATAAAAAAAATGCCAGAAGTAATTTACCAAAATTGAAGATTTTAGAATATAATTTCTCTCCAAGAAACCTAGGCAAGTGAAAATACCATAAGAATTACTGAAGACAATTAGTGCAAAATGCTTCATGCGTCATATTAAATGAAACGTTTAAAAAGACTTTGAACAGTAACCAATTGTTCCAAATAACCAAAGACCAATCAGTAAAGCATTTAATATTGTGTTACTTTCGTTCCGACTATAGTCAATAAATATAAGGAAAATAACAAAACAAAACAAACAAAAACACTGACTTTTAATTGTATACAAAGATTGTATACTGTACAGAAATACAAAACAAAAGAACTTTTATTTTGCATTTACCCCTACAAATGTTTCAAAAATATTAAAGCCCTCCCGATTATCCCTTAAAGAGTTAATCGTTAGAAATAATCCTTGTTTTTTTATGTATGACAAGATTAGTTTATTTCAAAGCAAAAAAAAAAAATTAATTAAAATAACACTTTGCCTACTGAAAAATGAAAACCTTCTTCTGTAGACATGATTTTTCGCGCGCGTATGTGTGTGTGTGTGATTTGTTTATAAAGCGGTTTCACTTCTGTGAACGTGTGTTCGTTTCAATAAATGACACTTGCTGAGCCAGACATGTGCGTGTGTTTACCTTTGCAGACGAAGAAAATTGTGTCTGTTGATGTTCTATATTTATATGTGTGCGTGTTCAAACACAGCCTTGTCTATGAATGTGTTTGTATGTGTATGTCTTTCTGTGCACGCACACATACATACAAACACAGACAACTACTCACACACGCACATGCACATATATAAAATTGTAGGTATTCATATTTTTATTAAAACATTACTAAAACATTTTATTATAACATTGTAACAGCTCCCGACTATGTATTTCTCAGTGTGTATAAAATGTACATTAATGAACACTATCTATCTATCTATCTATCTATCTATCTATCTATCTATCTATCTATCTATCTATCTCAGTCTGTTTATATCTATCTATCTATCTATCTATCTATCTATCTATCTATCTATCTATCTATCTATCTATCTATCAGTCTGTTTATATCTATCTATATAAGTCTGTTTCTATCTATCTATCTATCTATCTATGTCAGTCTGTTTATATCTATCTATCTATCTATCTGTCTCAGTTTGAATTTATCTATCTTAGCTTGAATTTATCTCTCTCTCTCTCTTTTGAATCTATCTATCTATCTATCTATCTATCTATCTATCTATCTATCTATCTATCTATCTATCTATCTATCTATCTCTACAAGCGTAAGTATTCCATATGCGTAAATGTTGCTATTCTCCGTACATACACCCAATCATACGCAAACAGAAACCATCAGCTGAATACGTATTACATATTTGAAATGCGTATGTCAATATCTTTGACCTTAAATAATACATTTTTAACTATTAACGATACAATTATCAATTTATACTTATTTGTGCCAGTTTTATGTCTGGGCGTTTTTTCTAATTACTTGACTATCACGAGTAAATATCTTCATGTATGTGTGTGTGTTTGTAAATTGCGTATAAACAGAAGGTGTCAGTTATATGTTCCTATCAAATTATATCAGTTCGTTTACATACACTTAAAATGTGTTATCATTATAATACGGATGTGTACTTGTGGATAGATAGTCTATATAAATATAGATAGTCTATATAAATATCACATGTAAGATAATTTGAAAAACAAAAAAAAAAAACAAAACAAACATGTACATAAATTCGACTCTTCAATTAAATTGTCCATGTGGGTCCTTGCGTAATGAAGAACTTATTTTGTCAATAAATGTATTTCTAGGAATAAAAAGATAAAAATGTGTTTGCATTTATGTCTTTGTCTATATATGTAGGCCTTTATCGGTTGTTAATTTATCTGGATATATATGCGTGGTACATCAAATCTATAGTATACGAAACGAATCTATATATGCATAAAGGTGAATATATATATATATATATATATATATATATATATATATATATATATATATATATATATATATATATGTATATATGTAGATGTATATACGTGATTAAGTATATATTCCCCTATGGAAGATAGGAGTGATTCAGTTAATATTCTTTTGCGTTTGTGTATGTAGAATCGGTGTGAGTTGATGTGTTCGGATTACAATTGTTGTGTTGTTGTTAAGTTCAGTTGTTGAACTCATTTAGAAGGCATAAGTCTGGCTTTCATTCACGAGTCTATACGCACCTTTACGAGAATATATACTTACTTTATTATGCTTCCTTGTGTGTATACACGAGAGTGACACACACACACATACATACTCACGCACTTGCATTTCGAAGATAACCCAAGATTTAAAAATCTTTAAAATATTCCAACGTATTTACATATTTATCCACGCAGACATAACTCAACGAAAGAAGAAATTATGGGCATGTATACAATATATATATATATATATATAGATAGATAGATAGATAGATAGATAGATAGATACATAGAAACAAACTGATATACATACGTACATACATACAGATACGTAGATAGATAGATAGATGGATAAATAAATAGATAGATAGATACATATAAATATAAAACGCAATGTTTCCATCCACACACACACACACACACACACATATATATATAGATAGATATTTAGATAGATAGATAGATAGATAGATAGATATATAATACAAAATGATATACATATAGATATATACAAACAAAGATACATAGATACATGCATATAGATAGATAGATAGATAGATAGATAGATACATACATACATACATACATAGATACATAAAACGCAATGTTTCCACACACACACACACACACACATATATATATATATATATATATATATATATATATATATATATATATTTATACATTTACACATGAGATGTTGAAAAGTTTTTGGTTCGAGCCACATCTCCAAATCTGAAAAAATAACAAAACAACGGTCAAAATTTTGGTGGGAAAGGATTCTCAGTCGGGCAGAAAAATTTTCAGCACCCCCCTCGTACACGCACATACGCACGCGCATGGAATATTCTACAGTTTTAGAGACAAATCGCAATAAATTTTTCAAAATATATCTTTGAGTTTTTCTTTTTAGTGGGGGGGGGGGTGCAGCGTTTATGTGTAGTGCCTGCCAGTGTCAATAATGTATTTGCAAAATTAAATTATTTTTAAAATATTAATATTTAAGATGATTTTATGTACCTGCTACTTAACTTGTAACTGTTGTGTGTGTTCGCTATAATATATCCTACACACATACATAAATAGAGTCATAAAGTGGTGTGTGTGTGTGTGTGTGTGTGCGTAAGTGCGTGTGTGTGTATACATTCCTCTGTCTGACGTTAATAAAATTTTTTTATGTCGTATTACAATGTAGCAGTAATTCCTTTTTATCATAATTAAGTTGACCAATAAAATTATCGCTATTTCTCATAAATCCGTCAACTCTTTTCATGGAAGAAAAAAACTTCATATAATTTGGCTAAAAACAACGTTAAATCTGTAAATGACAACTGGAAAGGGTTTATAAGTTCAATGTTTTGCTGATGTTAAATAACTTTGTTTTAAAATAAATAATAAAAATTCTATCAGTAATTTTGGTCAGAAATAGGACGATTGATAGAAAATAAACAGAGTTTAAGACCTTAATTAAAATAATTCCTTCAAGTTAAATCTGATATTTCTACAGCCTCTTAATTTTACTTGTCTTTAATATCAAAATATATTTAAGTTTCCAATACGACTATATTTCTTCTCTTTGTATATTTCATGATTGTAAGTTTTACATTTTTTTTCCAAAAATATCGTTCGTAGTGGCAAAAACGATTTTTACAGGAATGATTTTTCGTAATAATTTATTTGAAAATCGTTGTGTCAATTAAATGTTTGAAACTAACGGTTAAAGGATGTAAACAAATATCCAATTGTTTTAGATTTGAATAAACATTAAACAACAATGCCTTATCCGTTCAATGTTAATGAACTTACCCGTATTTCAAATATTTACAATCGACAGTTTTCTTCTGTTTAAATCTTTGTTTAATTAAACTTTATTTAAAAAAAAAGGACGAATTTGTAATAGATAGATAAAAAGATAGACAGATAGATTGTATATATGGACGTAATGTAAATAAATAGACACAATCTGTCTACAATATTTTGAAAAGACACGTTTTCCTGTCGGGTCTTTTCGTAGTAATCGTATCTTCAATTCCCGCTTTCTCATTGGCTAGCTAGCTTTACTAGAAAATTTTCCATTGAAGCTAAATACTACGGCCTGGTTGACGTAAGAAAATAGGGGTGCCAAGTTTGTTTCACTTGAAAACATGTTACCCGTATAAAACCAACCAAATAAAATGTTTGACTACTTATTCTTTAGCTCAAGTCTGTCCATTTGAATATGGTTTTAAATAAATATGCATGCAACATTTTTTTTTCGGCTTAAAATTACAAAAACTGAGAAAGAAATAGTTTCCATCCCTCCCCTGAAAAACAGAATGAAACAGCCCACACTACTCATCGCCATTAATGTACATTGGGTCATGTGACTAGCGGGGTAAAATATTCGCGCGCAGAGGTTTTTGGGCCAAGAAAGTGATCATGAATATTCATGAGCTAATGTGGACGAATCAATTCGTAACCAACAGGGAGATATAGGTTAACTGTAAATGTTAATTGTGGAAAAATACCAAAACGCATTGTTCATTTTCAACTGATAAAATTAAATTTTAAGTTCAAATTTCTTTTTTCTTGACGAAGAAAATTTAGTAATAACGATAGTGTTTAGTTTCTGATTGCAAAAGTGTTCAGAATAAGTCAGTGGGGCTTTTGAATCAACTGCTGTATATCCCACGCAAACATTTTGGATTCGTCCAATGAACCAGACAGATATCTTCAATTGAGTTGGCGCCGACATATTGGTTTCGTAGAGGCGGGCCAACTCAATAGTATATTGTAAGCTGCAACGCCTAACGACGCACAGAAGACGTTCATCTTGGCTAGTGAAAACATCGTGGTTTTTAGCTTAAAACTCGTGTTGTTTTTAATATCCGTTACGGAACCAAAACATTGTGCGTATTGTTTTTATATTGGATTTGAGTGTCCATCTAAGGAAAACGCTAAGAAAGAAAGAAAAAAAAAACTATTTTTTACAGAACAAAAAAAGGACAATTTTTATTCCAACAATCTTTAACGTTGGTTAAAAAAAAAGAATACACACACATATATTTGTATATATAACATATATACATGTATAAACAATAACACATTTTTACACAACAAAACAAACAGTAATCCACTGAACTGGACTATTATTATTGACGATTATCATTTCTCTAAATTGAACTGATATTACTGATTTATTACATTACGAAGAACTGTCAATAATTATCTACATTTTTGTGTTTTTGTTTGAAAAAAAAAAAAACTTTCTACCCTTTGGTAGTACTTAGTATCATTACTAATACTGCTGTTATAATTTATAATCAACTCTGTATTATAATTGAAATCTCTAGTATTTGTCGTGTTGATACAATTACACTGCTGTTACTTGTTATTGCTGTTTTAACTGAGTGAAAAAAAAAAAAACAAACAATGTTTCCAAACGCTACACGTGGTTACATGCCTTTTGTCTCCAACCAGAATAAGGGGCGAATTAACGGAAAATCTGGTGGTGTGAGACTGAATGATAATTTAAAACTCCAACCAGGAAAAGCCTACCAAGTTACACTTAAGGATCGTCATGGTTTTACGTATACATACATCGTCAAGGCTGACGGTTCGAAATCGCTTCCCGTACTATGCGATTCCAAAATGTACGGTCGTCGTCTTGGCCCCATGTCCAACTCTATGCCCAACATGGAAGCGAACGCGAAAGGCGGCAGTCCGGGATTGAATCATCATCGCAAAGACAAACAAGGAGCCGATCGCACTGACGCAGCAGCAGCCGCCAACGGTGCTAAGCGATACGGAATTCTTACATCCATTATTCGCTTTTTGAGCTCAAAGACGAAGACTAAGGCCAAGTCGAAAAGGAAACCTAAACCAATCCAACAACGTAGCAAGCGACAAAGAACGATATCTGCCATGTCGAATCTAGACCCGATCCAGGAAAGCCCCGATGAGAACGAGGAACGTCATCTAGACGAGGAGGAGGAGGAAGAAGATGACAACGACTCCTACACCCATGATACTTGCTCTTCTACATCAGAGAGTGATAGTATAGGAAGCGGAGACCCTTAGATAAGTACATTTACACATTTACACACAACATACATTCAGCACGTTTAGTATATAAACCCTAGAAAGGTGGATGATGGGCAAGTAAAAAAAATTATATATGTATACATGTATTATATATATAAATATATAGGTGTATATCATCATATATATGTTTATATGTATATATATATATATGTGTGTGTGTATATATAAGAGTGAAAAACTGAGCAGGTGCTAGTGAGGGAGATCGGGTCTCAGGAAAAAAAGGTGACGTATGCAGTATAAACGCATGGCAGTTGTAACGATGCCTAATACAGACTAATAAAGGGTGGTAGACATTTTATCACCGTTTTGATGACTGTATTGCTCGCTACCGTTGATGAAAAGTCAAAATGGTAAACGGCCTTAACAACAACAACAACAACATGCTGTGCAAAATGCGAACGTACCGATCCGTGTTCGAGAAATCAGAGGAGAAGGTTGACTAGAAGTCGAGAAGTTTATATCACAACAACACCAACAACAATCATGAAAACAACAAATTTAACAATTAGAATTTACATCTGATAGCATCACCACTGTTAAGACAGGAAAGCGAGAATGTAAACATTGGGAAGAAAGATTGAATTTTAAGAATGAAAAAAAAAACAAAACAAAAAAAACAAATTACCAACGGAGGCAAAGATAAAAAACAAAACAAAAACAGTCATAAAAAAGAAAGAAATGAACAATGAACTAACATGATTTTTATCAGTATTACATCATCCTATTTTTATTTTATTTTATTTTTTTTTTTTTTGTGTGCTTTTTGCATTTTCAAATAATTAACATTGCATCGTGTGTAATATTGGTAAATCCTCTGTCAGTAATTAACTTATAACGTAACATTTGATCATTAAGCTGGAAGACACCAGCATCCAAAAGAAAAAAAATAATCTTGGAAAGAGATTTTATCTTTTTATTACGAAAATATATTATTCAGTAATGAACTTAAGAGCTAAACTTTTCTTCCCTCCTCTTACTTACTACTATTGCTCTTTTCAGATATTTAGTATTTTCTTTTTATCACTAGCAGAGTTGATGACTATCGTCACTTAGTAGTTACAATATAACGTTTATTAAGGAATGAAGTAGGGGGGGAACGATGAAAAAAGGTAGCAGTAGTCGCTCGGGCCAGACAGTGGGTAAGGAGCTCCAATTCAATGACCTCTTCCCATTCAAGTATAAAACAGCCCTTAGTGAGTAAAAATCCCAATGACTTTGCAAAGGGCAGAGCCTTCCGAACGAGGGATTGAGAAATGCCTTCGGGAGAGTTTCTTTTCTTTTTTCTTTTTTTTTTTTTATCTTGTTGTTGTTTCAAAACATGTTATGCTGAGATTTGCTAACTTAACGACAACAATTCTACTAATGACTTTTAATTAGTAAATAGTACTGGTAGCCTTCGTAATAGTAGTTTCAATAGTAGTAAATACAATAACATGGCTATTGAAATGTTCTTTCATGTCTACAATGGCTATTGTTACTGTTTTGCGTTTACTTGTGACTGTTTCAGGTGGATAGTATTTATTTATTTTTTGAAGGCAAGTTTTCAGACTGTTTTCGTTTGACTCGGTGGCTGCTAGAAGAAAGTTACCAAGTTCGAATCCTACAGCGGGAGCTAGTCATAAAAAAAATGTTTATTTTTATTTAATAGTTGTATCGACCAAGAACAATTATTGACTTTAAGTTTATTTTATTTTATTCCTACCTGCCTGAAGCGAAAAATAAGTCGATGAATTTATTTATTGTTTATTATTTATATTTGTAAACAAACTGATCAAATGTATTTTATCAATTTCATACTGTCTTTTTTGGTAAACAAACAAACAAAGTCACAGAAATTAAAAGATAAAACAATCGGACTAAAACTAAATTAAAAAAGAAAATGAAAAAAAGACTGTTTTTGATCAGTTAATTACAATTACGACTGCTACAGAGAGGGGACCTAAAAAGGGCAACAAATTGGACTAAAAATCCTACATTTGCAAGACACATATTTGAGATGTTAAAACAAACAAAAACAATCTCCTGTATGATGTTTGAATGAAATAAGAGTTAAAAAATGAATTGGTAAAATAACGAAATACAACAATGAATAAAAGCGTAAGTAAAGAGTGTAAGTGGAGGGAGAGCTGTAATGTCTGGCCTCACTTGTACTCCCTCTACCAGACTCTAGCCGAGACGAGGATGATGCAATGAAGACATGAACGGCGAAAGGAGGAGGAGGAGGAGGAGAAGAAGCAGATGAAATACTGCAAATGTCATAAAATCGATGACCGCTGTAATCATCATCATCATTTTTTTTTTTTTTTTTTTATCGATCAGCAACAAACGTCATGAGAGAGAAAGTAAAGCTGATTAAGAAAAACGATAACCCTTGGAGAGATAATCTTTTAGGGCGAATTTACAACCAGCCCCCCCTCCCCTTAAGATTTAAACGAAGCAGTGGTGGTGCTTATTCATAAACAAAAAAACAAACAAAAAAAAAAAAAAAAAAAAAAACACAAACAAAAAAAAATCCTATTAAGTCGAACAAATATCAAAATAAAAAAATATTTGAATTCAAATTGACACATTTTCATCCGGATACAGAAAGTGAAATCTCAACTCAAAAAAAAATATTAATAAAATAACTCTATAATCACATTTTAGGACACACGAAGAAAAAAAGGACACACAAAACAAAAAAAAAAAAATTAAAAAAAAAATCAGTTGATATGGAGAGAAATGACTTCTTTTCAAGAAACCTTCGTCTTCCTCATTTTCTATCTCTCATCCCCAGACTTTGTTTTTTGGGGGAGTTAAAAATCCATCCACATCAAAAATGGACGTGTGTAAGTTTTTTTTTTTTTTTTTTTCGTCAATTAATCAAGCTTTTCATGTTTTTTTTTTTTTTTTTTTTTACCCAAAAATTTCGTAAGAGCACGCACACGTATCTACTACGATACTGATTGGTAACAGTAGATATCGCTATCTCCCCCCCCTCTCTCTCTCTCTATCTATCTATCTATCTATCTATCCTACCATCTTTTTCTATCTTTTATTTCCCCTTCTGTGTTTTTCGTTCATGTGACATTCCTCTTGTAAAACCAAAAAGTCTTGTTGGTATCCTGCTTCTTAAAAAAAAGTCTCTCGCACACACACACACACACACACACACACACATAAAACAGAAATATTCATTCTTTTAGAAATATGATTTTATTTTCGCACAAAAAGAATGAACAAAAAAGATGTAAAAAAAAGAAAGTAAACCAAAGAAAAGCAGGTTTTATCAGCAGACAGGCAATTTTGACGATATGTTGAATCCAAACAGTCAGCGTAATTTCTTTTACCTGAAATTTCATTTTTAACCGAAGGAATGAAAAACAAGACAACATCTTCGATTTGGAGGCAAGAGACAATTGAAAACTTGAGAACCGTTCAACTCTATGAGAGGAAGAACTCGGCAGTTTGTACGGAAGAACACGAAACACAAAATCAGAACTTTGATTTTTCTTCTTTATCTTCTTCTCTGTCAATCTTTGTTATTATTTTTGTTTATCTTTATTTATTTTTATTATATTTTTCGAGAAAAAAGTAACTCCGTGAAGGTTTAACGTTTGAAGAGGGGAACACATTCTTTGAGTTTTAAATGGAGTTAAAGACCTTGCCGAAGAAATTTTTTTTAATGTCATCAATTCTACACCCTGTTCATGAATGAGCTGACGCATGAATCTGACAATGCATGTAAGCATATGTACATACAAGCCTAAATATTGACATCAATAAATATACACACAATTGTATGCGTGTGTGCGTGGGTGGGCGCTGTGTGTGGGTGCACGCCCTTGCCTGTACCTGAAAGTGTCGGTTGATATTTGATCTACATGACTTAAGTTAAAGCTGTGCTTGACTTATTGTTATATGTACATATGCCAGAGTGCGCGTGTGTTTCTGTGTGAGATAGACGGGCTTGAGAAAAAAAAATGAAAATATGATGAAGAATTGTGATATATATATATATATATAAATAAATATAAGTAATCTATTTTTTTATCTGAAGAGGAAAACAAGGAATACACAAGAAATCCTCTCTTAAAAAACGTTGAAACGTCTGCTGAATGGAAATATAGATAGAAGACTTTTAAAAAAAAACGTTGTCACCTCGAAACCAAAATACACAAACATATGCAGATAATGTGCATATGTCTTAAATTAAATCTTATTTGTTTTATAAGGTAGAAATTAAGTAAAAAAAATATATATATTTATTTTAGATTTTATTTGAAGATAACTTAAAGAATAATCGTAATTCATCAAATATAGTCAACATCGACCGTTTTTGTATACTAAATTGGATCTTCTATCTATAATTCCATTTTTTTTAAGATAATCCTTATTATTTACTTTTTAAACATTATCATTTTTCCCAATTATTACAACTTTTGCAAAGAAGTCTTGTTTTCTGTTAATATTTTTTCTTGCTCATTTTATTCGTTGCTATTATTATTATTATCATCACCACTACGTATCCAGCTTCTTCAAGCTGGTGCTATGTAGCGTACATCCACATATTGTAAACATATTAGGCATGGCGCTAAAAAAGAAAAATTGGTGAGGGGGGGCTTAAGTAGGATATTGAGTTTTAAAAATATTTCAAATTTCTTTTTTTTTTTCTTTTTTTGATTATTTGGACTTTTAAAGAAATCTCTCTTTTTCTCTCTGTCTATTAGATCTAGTATCCTTTTATAAGCATATTTTTGTTTTAAATAATTTATTATTATTATTTGCTTTTCGCTTGTGTTTATTTTCTGGGTGGAGACTTGTAGACTTTTCCCGCCGATAAAGTAGTAAAAAGACTTGTTTTTTTTTTTTTTTTTTTTTTTTTTAGGAGCTAAAATGTTTCTGAAAGACACAGCTTGAAAATGATGTTTCCGACTTTGAAAATTAATGGTAGTAATGATAAGAATATAAAAATTTATTGATCTGTTTTTAGCTTT